AGGGAAGGCTTCGGGTGTCAGGCACCACCGCGCTGCGGCAAGCACGCCCTTGCAGGATGGGGGGGGTGCAGGCTACGCTCCTCTCCCCCGCATGGCTGCCGCTGATCCTCCCTCCTCTGCTCCAGGATCCATCCAGGAGGAGGAGGATCAAGGAGGAGGGGGAGGAGGAGGAGGATCGAGGAGGAGGAGGAGGAGGAGGAGGAGGATCGAGGGGGAGTAGGAGGAGTGTCGAGGAGAGTAGGAGGGGAGGAGAGAGGAGGAGGACTGAGGAGGGAGGGATCGAGGAGGAGGGAGGAGGGAGGAGGAGGAGGTGGGAGGAAGGAGGAGGAGGAGGAGGAGGAGGAGGAGGAGGAGGGGGTTCGAGGAGGAGGAAACGGAGGAAGAAAGGCAGGAGGAGGAGGAGGAGGAGGACGAGGACGAGGAGGAGGAGGAGGAGGAGGAGGAGGAGGAGGAGGTGGGGAGAGGAAGAGAGGAGGGCCGTACGAGGGCATCAGTCGTTCGACACGACTACCCGCAGCTTCGAGGGAGGAAGGGCCGCAGCTTGGGGCGAAGCCCCGGCAGCCGCGTGAAACCTGATTCTTCAATCCCAGAAAAAGAAGCCTCAAGCGGGACACCACGGGACACCTCCGCGAGATGACCGCAGAGCACGCACCTAACGCCCATTGCCCTCCCGACCCGATGCCTTCCCGCCGCCCCCCGCAGCATGCTGCCCTCTGCGGCCGCGGCGGAACTCCATAGGCGTTCTTTTTTGTCCGCCGCCTGCCCAGGAGAGGCAGAGGCATGCCAGGCCCGCTGCTCAGCAGGTCGACCCGTACCTCCTCAGCCCGAGCTGCCGCGGTCGAAGCAGGCGCTCCTCCCACCGCCCCTCGCTCGGCGAGGTGGACGGGAAGGGGGAAACGCAGAGCATGACGACGACGGCGGCGGCGGCGGACGCAGCAGCGGGGCAAACGACGACTGCCAGCAAGCAGGGCTCCCAGTAGCCACGGAGCGCCTCCAGGAGGCCGCCAAGAGGTCAAACTCATGCAAACACCCAGAGCAAATCAATGATTGTTGCCTTTCGCCATTTCGCTTTCGGTGGCCTTCAGTAGCCTCAAGATGGCTCCAAGAGGGCCCAAGAGGGCCCCAAGAGGGGCCTAAGAGAGGCCCAAGACGGCCCCAAGAGCGCCCAAGAGCGCTCCAACAGCGCCCCCAAGAGGGGCTCACTATGCGACTTTTCGGGCTTCCGAGGGGGGACCCAAATTGAACATTACCTCTGGTTTGATCGATGTCTTCTAAGATGGCCCAAAAAGTGCTCCTAAGCTCCCAAAAGTGCCCCAAGAGGCGCACAGACAGCCCCAAGAGGCGCGCAAGAGTCCTTTAAGAGGCTCCCAAGAGGTCCCCAAGAGGCCTCAAGAGGATCTTCGAGGCACCCACGACGCTCGAAGAAGCCCCTGGGCTCGCCAAGATGCTCCTTCTCCTCCTCCTCCTCCTCCTCCTCCTCCTTCTCCTCCTTCTCCTTCTCCTCCTCTTTCCTCCTCCTCCTCTTTCCTCCTCCTCCTCCTCCTCCTCCTCCTCCTCCTCCTTGTCCACTGTCTCTTTCTCCTTCCTCCTCATCGCCCTCGTCCTTCTCCTCCACCATCCTCCCCCTCTTGGAGTATCGGACGGCTTTCACCGCCCTTTGTTCTTCTGCATGCTCCCCCACTTCCCTGATCACCTCAACTCCCCTGGGCATCGTTTCTGGATGGGCTGGTGGCGGTACTTTTGGTACGCGGGCGCGAGACGAGTCGAACGCCGTGCAAGCTAAGGCGGGCCGCGCCGAAACACAGGGGAAACGCTGGTGACGATACGCGAAGCCTAAGCAACTATGTCAGGCTCGCGCTGCCCAAGCCCCCAATAGAAAAACTCCATGCTCGCGCCCCCAAAGCCACAACGCATTGACAAATTACAGCAGGTTCGCACCAAGGAGGCCACAATTCCTTGTTGAGTAAAGGTTCGCGACCCCTCGGCCCGAGGCAACAATCCCAGGTAAGTCACGCCAGGCTCGTGCTCCCCAAGCCACAGTCCTGTCTCCTCCTGCCTATCCAGTGGGCAGCAATGTTAATGGAATGCCACCCGACTTCGAACAGCGGAACTCACGCACGCCACGACGCACACGACTTTGTCAGTGCGGAGCCGTGGTGTTGGCGCAGTGATCTCGCACAGATACAAGGGTGCGGCGTGTGCCTCAAACAAGTTCGGGGGGATGGGAGGTGTTCGAAACCAGCTCCACAGGGACAGCACCACGGTGCTGATCATCTTCAACTCTCCTCTGCTGTAGGGGGTGGGTATGGGGGTTGGCTCTGTCGGGGTAGGGCGCAGGAGTAGAGGAAGAAAGACGGGCATGCTAATGATCATAATTTCTCGGAGGCCCGCGCGGCTTTCTTGGATCGGCGCCGGACCCCCTCCCCGGCGCACGGAGCGCGCCAGGGGCGGGGCCGGAGGCGCCGCCGGGGGAGCCCCAGCGCCGATCCAAGAACTCCGCGCGGCACTCAGAGAACTTCCGATCGTGCCGTTTCTTTCGGGTCAGGCGAAAGGGGGGGATAGCAAAGGGGGGGGGGTGAGAATCAGCTCACGTAGCTGATTTTCCCGGGCTCCCGGCGCAGAGGCGGCTTGTGTCGAGGAATTGCTCTCGGTGAGGCCGAAATCAGCTGCTGGAGCAAAGTTTCGCTAACCCCCCCTTTCCCAATCCTCCCCCCCTTTCGCCGGCACGACGATGTGCCGCTCATCCAGGGGGGGGAGAGGGAGAAGGGGGGTGCGGGCCCCTCCGAAGGGGGCTGGAGGAGGAGGAGGTTGGAGGAGGAGGAGGAGGGAGGCGGAGGACTGAGGAGGAGGAGTCGAGGAAGGAGGGGGAGGAGGGGTGGCGGAGGGGGAGAGGAAGAGGACGGAGGAGGGGAGGAGGAGGAGGAGGAGGAGGAGGAGGAGGAGGAGGAGGAGGCGGGGTGCCAGGGCGCTGTAGGCCACCTTGAGATTCGCCCCCCCCCCCCCCCCCCCCCCCCCCCCCCCCGCACGGCCCGCGACGGCCTGCCCGCAGGAGAGCCGCTGCCGCTGCCGGCGCCGTCTCTCCGTGGCCGGCGGCGCGCCCGCGGCGGACTGGCCGCGGCCATGGCTGCGGAACGGGCCCAGGCACACACCGAACACACAGAGACAAATCCCAGGACCAAAACAGGGCTAGGATCGGGATAAGTCGCTCCAGAGCGTTCCGGAGGGCTCTCAGAGCGCTCCGGAACGCTCTGGAGCGGCCGCGGCGCCCAACACGTCCTCCAAGCCCGCCGATTCTGAGAGATTTCGAGTTATCCCGATCCGATGTTGTCCCGATCTTCGCGTCGTTTTAACAGGGCCCCCCGTGTCCCTGCATCCCAGACCCCCGACGTCATGATTTTTTCATGACGCGACCCCCAGAGGTCCGGACCCATTCCCCGGGACCGGTTTTTCATCCTGAGTCGTTTTTTGACGGTCCCGAGGCCCGGTGAGAGCCCCCAGAGGCCGAAAATAACGAAAAACCTCCCGTCGTGATTTTTTCATGACCCGAGGGGGTCTGGGATGTTCGTTTCCCCCGTCGCGCCCCACAGCTCCCACACGTGTCTGGAAGAATCGGCGACTCTCTGTGCCAGTCTGTGTGCCTGCTCCTCCCGGGCTCTCCAGTGATGGGCCTATTTTCCACCACCACCACCATAAGTTGGAGGGGGAGGGGGTCCTCCTCCTCCCTCCCTCCCTCCCTCCCTCCTCCTCCTCCTCCTCCTCCTCCTCCTTCTCCTCCTCCGCCTCCTCCTTCCCCCTCCAACTTATGGTGGTGGTGGTGGAAAACAAGCCCATCATCCAGGGCGGGCCCTCTCGGCGCTCTCGGCGTCGCTCGCGGGGGCCTCGGCGCTCCCGATCGGCTGCACGCAAGGGGGACCCTGGGCAAGAGTGGCCTTTGGTGCGCGGCTTCTTTGAAGGGGAACTGAGGCACACAAATAAATACACACAGATAAAAATACCCCCCATATTTTCCCATATGTTCTGGGTTTCTGTTTTCCCCCCCACTTCCCATATTTTCCCATATTTTCTGGGAGTCGACGATTAATTGTGTCTGTGTGTTTTTCCCCCTCCTGATTCTTGGGGGCCCAGGGGGGACCAAACACAGGCGCGCCAGACGCTACTGTCGCATCGCGTTCAGCGATCGAGGGACCCCCTTGGGCCCGCACCAAAGGTCACTCCGGAGACAGGTCACTCTGACGTGTAGTCGACTCGATCGCGGTCGCGCCCGTCGGTGTTCTGCTGTTGCCCCTGCCGCCGGCGCGCCTGGGAGAGCCACCGCCGCTGCCGTGGATGCCGCTGCGGGCACGTGGGGGGCTGCCGCCAGAAAAGCCTTCCGCGCCGCCACGTATGAGGCGTTCCAAAAAGGGCCTTGCCTTCAAGGAAGTAAGGAGTTGTCATCTCTTCCGCCGCGGAAGGCGGCGGAAGGGCGGCGGAAGGTCGGCGGAAGTCAAACGAGGCCGCCTCCGCCGACGGAAGGCGGCGGAAGTCAAAAAACGCCTCCAAGAGATGAAGACGTTTTTGGGATCAGGGTTTCCGAAATCGCCCACATGGTCTGCCATCCCACGCACGGTGTGCACGGAGCGGCCGCGGGCGAGCTGCGCAACGCCTGGCTGATGCTGGCGGGATCGGGCCCCTGAGAGGCTTGCCGAAGTCGACCACGGACAAGCGGAGTCCAGCTGTGCCTTGGGTGTCCAGGCAGAGGTCTGGAGCAGGAAACCATGCAGCAGGCGGGCAAGGAGGCAGAGGAGTACAGGAGGAAGAGCGGCAGTGACAGAAGGGAGGCAGGAAGGAGGAAGAGAGGAGGAAAGGGGGGATTGGGGGGAAGGAAGGAAGGAAGGGGGACTCCAAGGGAGGCGGGAGGCAGGGAGGCAGGGACGGGAAGCAGGGGATGGGGGAGGGGAGGGAGGAGGCGGGCCAGTGGGAGGGGGCAGCGGCGGGCAGTGGGCATGGCGGGGTGGCCCCTCCTGCCGCAGCCGCTCCACCACCGCCCGGTCGTGGCCCCACATGCGCAGCCGGGCCTCGGCGGGGCCGCGGCTGGGCAGCCGGCCGCGCTCGCAGGGCGGGCACCTCGGCCTGTCCGCCCAAGGCCTCGCCCTGGGAGGGAGCCACCCCGGACAGGATCGCGGCGTGGGAAAATCGGGACGCGAGGCTTTTGCTAGTCTTCGGCCTCGGGGGGCCCTCGCTGGGCCCCGAGACCGTCAAAGAAGGACTCAGGAGGAAAAACCGGTCCCAGGGAAAGGGTTGGGACTTCCAGGGCGCCGCCCTGAAAAAGTCAGGAATTCGCATGTCTGGGACGGGGGGCTCTGGGATTCTGGACATGGCGCGCCACGAGACTGGCGGCGTCACAGGAGAAACGCGAGCAAGAGGAACAAGCAGGCGTCAGGGATCCCGGTAACGGACCAGCACAAAATTGTCTTGAGAGGCAGTTCCTGCAATATGGGCATCACAAGTGATGGTCCTGTCCTAGGGTGTCGCCCGTCCACCAAAAGTTGTAGGCGATATCTCTGAATTTTAGGGGGCCTGAGGGGACGTTTGTTGTCAAGAGGGATTTTCCCGGCGCCTCCCGGCGCCGGAGGCGGCTGTGTATCGAACAATGGGCCCCTCGGTGAAGCCGAAACCAGCTGCACGCAGCAAACCTCGGAAGCCCCCTTTCCCAATCCCCCCCTGTCGTTCGGCCCGAGAGGAGGGGGGGGCGGGCGAGAAGGGGGGGAGGGGCGAAAGGGGGAGGGCAAGGGGGGAGAAGGGCAGCAGCACGCAACGGAACGACAGAGGAGGGAGAAGGGGAGGGGGGGAGCCGGGAGGGGGGGCGGAGCCCCGGCCGCGGCAGCGGGCGGGGAGCCCTGCGAGCCACGCAGGGCGGCGGGGAAGGGGGGAGGGGGAGGGAGGAGGGAGAGGCGACACGGAGGGGGAGGGGGGAGGGGGAAGGGAGGAGGGGAGGGGGAGGGGTGAGGAGGGGGAGGGGGAGGAGGGGGAGGGGGGAGGGGGGAAGGAGGAGGGGGAGGGGGAGGGGAGGAGGGAGGGGCGACACGGAGGCCAGCGACGACGAGCGACGACGGCGGGACAGGAGAGCAACAAGCAGGCAACCAGGAAAAGGGGACGGGGAGGGGAAGGGGAGAAGGGGGGGAGAAGGAGCAAGGGGAGGAGCAGGAGGAGGGAGGGGAAGAAGAGACAAGCAAACGGCTCGTCACCCGCGCCAGGAATGCAAGTATTTTAGCGGGTGGAAGGCAGGGGGGATACGCGAATACAGAAGAGACTCCCAGTCTGCACTGCGGAGCGCGCGTGCACGAAGAAGGCGTGGCAATCGGGATTGAAACTCAGAGGCACGGCTTGAGCTCGGAACATAAATATATCTATATATATATATATATATAGAAATATTTATGTATGGCGCCGACAGCTGAATGCAGAATGTGGTCTGACGATGTGAAAATAAAACAGGGCTCGATCAACTGACGATGGTGCCCGCGGCGCACGCGAGACGGAGCAGCTGGCGACGGGTGGAAGAAATCGGAAAAGCACGCCGGGCCCAGCCCAAGAACGCTCTGGCGAACGACGCCCAACTTACTGATGTCTCGTCGGTTGCTCAGTGTGGCAAGGTTGTAATAGAACAGCGCCTGCAAGGCTGATATATTTAAGGAGCGTAAGAACTCTTCTGCAAGGCACCGAACGGAGACAGAAATGAGGTTGATGCGTGGCTAATTGCGTCGGTGTGACCAAAGTCCGCGTACGAATGAAACTATCCATACGCTACGAAGCATGTGATGCGCACTGGTCAACAGCCCCCTACGTTATCAATTCGGATCCGAAAGCGATCCCCAAGATTTTGAAAATGTTGCTGGAAGGGCGGCTGCGTGAAAAGATCTGAATAATTATCTTGTTCCGCATCGAGTTGCACTCTATCCGCTCTTCCCTATTCGTGCAGCGATGCATGGCAACGGCCCAGTCGCTGATAAGCCCCTGCATCAGGCACATGGGAAGGCAGAGCGCAGCAGGCATTCAAATCACCTGCAAAGATAATATATTCAGAACCTTCTGCGCGGATAACAAAGCACGAACCGATAAAATACATGTTCCCAAGAATGGGGCCCAGCACGCTTCCTTGGCAAACCATACTATCCGTTGGAAGCTCGCTGGGTTGCTGCCTTCCCACGACAACACAAGCCGGACGCTCGCGGAGCGAATCAAGTCGACGATGTGCGCCAGGACGCTGAAACAGCTAAGTCTGCTGCACAACCTGACGGGATCTACCCTATCAAACGCGCCTGAAGTGCGGGCAATAGTTATATCCACATCCAAGGCGTCTTGGAGCTTTGGGCTCTCTTCCCCAGAAGCTGGAGGCGCACTGGATATGGATAAACATCTTGCCTCAGAAGGTTTTTGATTTTTATCCATATCCAGTGTGGCTCGGCCTTGCGGCACGCCTTCCCAACAAGTCCACGACGATCTGGATATGGATATAAGTATTGCCCGAATGAAGCGTCAGAGCAATACGAAGCGGTGCGGGCACTGCGGGAGAAGGAAGGAGGACACGACATGACGACAATCAGGTGGCGTCCCGCGCTCCGTGCTGCTGGCGATTTCAGCAGACTGACGACCGCCATAAGCGCCAAGGCGTTCAGCACGCGGAACGGCAAGAGCCCCTGGAAGCCTCTCCGCTACTTTGGATACTTTGGGGGTCAGCTACAGTCCAAGACCAGTATCGGGGTCACTCATGGCACGGCGCTTGATTACAGATAGGTCAAGCGTTTACACCAGCACGCGGCCACCCTGGAGTAGCGAAGCATGAGCCGTGCAAGAAGACAACCTGGCAGCGCAAGCTCCCGGGAGCACGCCTTCAAGACACGCGCTGGCATGATATCAAGGCCAGTACCACTGTCAACCTAGAGAGCAGAAAGAATATTCTGAGCGCTGCGCCTACGAATCCGTAGAACATTTCAAGCACACGGCTGCACTCAAATATCAGATACGTCCGAATGTAAACTTTGCTCAGCGTCAGGGAGGGGCCATTTGCTGGCGAGGCTACAAGCAAGAAGCTCTGCCATATGCAACATTCGTCCAGCCCAGGAACTGTCGGAACGCTTCAATGGAGAACTGCTGGATTTCACCGCCCGGAAGAGAATCATATTCCAGAGTTTTCACCACTTCTTACTGCCACGGCGCACCGATCGAAGTTTCACCCTGGTCCTCTGGATAAAAGAAGCGTGTGCCCGCGACAACGCGGCACTGCAAGCGCGACGCGCTTCAGGAAAGAGTTCAGTTTTGTCGGTCCTGTCTTTCTGTTCAACAAGACGCAGACATCCTTCTGTAAGTCAAGGATACAAAAAGCGGTAGGGCTAAATCGAAAAAGGGGCACACGAACGCATGAGATCAAAAACCAGATCAGCTATCCGAGGAGCACCTTCGTCAGGATTCCCTGCAGCAGTCTGGTGCCAATATTGGGAGCGAAGGCAACTGTTCAGACCGCCGCAACTTGCAGTTAAAATGCCAAACAACGCGCGTGGATACTTCAAACGAAAAACGCGGAACAGCGAAACGAAGCGAAACAGCGCGATGGTCAGCAATCTCGCTAACCACTTCTGTCGTTTAAACGTCTGGCAAACTAGTAATAACTAATCGAAAATATAACCCGCGCGTCGGTGAACGAAGTGTCTACTTCAAACAATGCGTAAAGGCTGGGAGTTGCCACAGACACAGTTTGGAGGATGAGAAGCATTACAGGGTCCAATCAGACTGAGAAAATTACGAAGCGTGGGCTTGGAAGAAGGATGCAGCGCTCCCGAACTTTTCGGGCTCAGGCGGCAACTCGTGCGAAAAGCGGCCGAAGCCCGAAACAAGATAAAGGCTACCTGCACTCGGGAGATCTGGACAAACGAAGCTTGCATCCCGAACTGGATTCAGGCGGCCTGCACCGATCTCCGGATCAAGAAGGCGGCTTGCACCCGGACTCCTGCAAGTATCGATGCTTGCGCTTCCCAAGGCTTTTCCCAAGGCTTCAGGCCTAAAGCAAGATTTGCGCGTCGAACTGTTCAAACAAGAGCGTAACGCACTAAAAAAACGCTAAAACAAGTAGAATCAAAACGAGGACCTCGTCGGACGACTCGTCGTCTCGAACGACGCGAAGGGGGCCGCACACTACTCGCAAAGCGAGGGGCAGCAGAACACGGAAGAAGAGGGAGAACGAGAAACGAATTGTGTGAACAAGATTGCATGCCACCCTGCTCGCCCTAAGGCGGCAGGTCGGCGAACGGGGCCAAGAAACGACCGCCCGCATCGCCAGACTGCTGCTCGAACCCAAGCAAAGCCATCGACGGCGACGCCTCGGGACTCCCAACTCGTCGCAATCCTACTGCGACGGACCTTGGCCTGCAATTTCTTCTCTGCCCCCCACAAAACCCAATCCCTGTCGCATCGATCATGAATTTTGCAGGAACGACGACGCCCCCGTTTGCAACAGAGACTCTGGCCCCCTTACCTCTGGCAGCGCGCCAAAATGTGTGAGCGTCTGCCTCTGTTTCAAACTGGAGAGAGGAGGCCTGAGAAACAGTCTGCGCGCTCCGCGGGCCAGTAAAGACATGCCTTTTCAAGCGCAGGATTCGCTGCCGCATTCGTGTCTGAGGCACTTGTCTGAAGGCTGCGACTCGTGGTGTCGAATCCTCCCACCGCAACCTGGAAATGCGAAACGCCCGTCGAGCTCATCATCTGCAGAGGACGACCAGAAGAGGCAGACGCCGCGCCCCGATCGCTCCGAACGTGCTCGGCACGAATCCGAAGTGCTGCCGCTTCGTCTTTCAACGGGCCAACGGCCTTAGACGTCGCTGTCCTCCTCTCGCGGGTAATCTGAGAATGCGAGCTGGGCAACCCGCTGGTGACATCGTCGTTCGACTGCCTAATTATGATTGTGGATGCCATGACAACGGACACCCTAACAATCCGATCATTAGATCGAACATGTGTTTGCAATGTCGAAGACATGTTCTAAGCATGTGTCAAGCATGTTTTACATGCTTAGAGCAAGCTT